CATGGCATCGTGCCTTAAGGCAAATTGCTGAAACTTCCCGTACCGTAGTTAAAAATCTTGGTACGGAACCCAAAAAATTTACACAAAATGTGTACACATTAGTAAAATCTCTATAAAATATCCGATAATTTGATGTACATGTGTCCAATTAACATTTGTGACCTTTTTCAAACTTATTTTTATTAAGAGTCCATAACCGCTAGACCTGCCTTCCTAAAAATTTAATCAGTTTTTCATCTTGTCAATACAAGTAAAATGCTTTTTGAATTATTAAAATCGGACGCTCCGTTCTCTTAAAAACTGAGTTACCGTTTTTGGCACTTTTTGCCCCATATCTCCGGAACGGCTAGACCTGCCTTCGTCAAAAACTAATCAACACGTCTCCTTAACAATACGAATAGAATGTTTTTTGAATTAGTCAAATCGGTAGATCCGTGTTCCCGAAATCGTCGACGAAAATTTGTATTTGTATTTTTTTCTAAGGTATGCCAAAATGTTCAGAAACCCTTGGAAAGTAATGATATATAAAAGTTTTCATTTTAGATTTTTTTGCGATTACTATAACTTACCCTATGAGAAGTTAATAATAAGTCACTAATATCTAAAATTCATTTACTAAAACTAAGTCCATCTAAAGATTTTAAAGTATTGAAATAACTCAAATTTTAGTATTGAACTTTGATCCTATATTTATTATCTATCGAAATATTAACCGGTTCGGCTGATTGCACTCTAACCTGGAACGACGCCTAGTTCCAGGTTAAGCGCACATTTGGCCTACCAGTGGGAAATGGGACGCTCGTTGAAAACCAAATTTATATTAATTTTTTTTCATAGAAATTCATTTGCTCAAAAACTATTTATTGTATAACTAACAACTATTTATTATGTACTATATTGCTTATTTACTTGTAATTGAAAATGGTTATATATTATATTTATTTATAGTCAATTTTATAGTAAAGATTTGGTCTTTTTTTTGGTATATTGAAAATAATTCAGATTTCAATTTTAATTCTGGCTAAAGTTTTAAAGCTCACTTAAGGTACGGAAAGTTCCAGCAATTTGCCTCAAGGCACGATGCCATACACCACTAGTATTTATCTATTTAATTGAAATGATTGTCTTTAATAAAAAGCTTAGGTTATTAGTATCGTAGCAACCAGGATTTGAATTTGAATTAAACAGGTTGTAATTATTTTTTATGAAACATTGAACAATTAACAAATTAAATCTTGTTAAAATGTTGGATATAATACATTTCTGATTGCTTGTTTCTGTGAAGGTGTAAAAACCCAGAATTAAATGCCATAAATTACGTGGGATTACTTTCCTCAAATATGAGTAATTGTAAAAATGCTTTCTTTGCTTACTGTTGTTTATAAATTACAGTTAATGAATTAGGTTTTTGACAATTTTAACAATGTGAAAATCCCATTTCAAACTTACATTTATTACAAGAAATTTAGTAATACTTTCAATAAATGCTTCCTGGGTCAAGAACCGTCTTTGTAATAATACGAAAAGTAAATAGGCGCATTCCAATCGACTAATTGTATGTTCAAAGTATATATACATATATATATATATATATATATATATATATATATATATAAATATATATAAATATATATATATGAATGTATGTATGTATCTTGCTAAACATTTGTTTAAATGTTCTAATTGTTATTAGTACAACTAATAACAGTTCAATACTCCGAAGTTCCTTGTTGTAATTAGTTTTTGCCTTAAATAAATAAGTATTAATGGGAAAATATAAAATAATTACTTTTAGACATTTAGGAAAGTTTAGTTATGAAAATATAACTCTATTTAACTAAATATAATAAAACTCAACATTTACGCTACCAAATAAATTTGATACAAATAATACAATTCGAAACAAGTAAAGTTTTTAAGATGTTCATTTAGTGTTTTATTGTTAATTTAAAAAAATATATATTAATTAGTTATATATTCTTAATTTATCACTCTTTTTTTTCACATTTATTATTTATCATCGTAATTTGTTAGTGGACATCTTTAAATATATTCTCCTGGAATAAATATTTTTTCAAGCGAAAATAGTCATTCAAGGCATTGCTGCATAAATTTAAAAAAATGTTAGAAAAAAAAATTAGTAAAAAATTTATTAAATATGAATAGATAAACCATTGGATTGTCTTCAAAAAAAAATTAAATCGCGTTTTTAAGGAGAAATATGATCACAACAGCTTTTATACGAATCTTAAGTTCTGATTGCTGTTCAAAAACTAATGTTTTACATGAAATTATTTTTTAAAAATACTAGGTTTGTATTAGAATGCTAGAATTTGAGTATGTTTTACCTAAATGTGTCTACTAAAATCACAAATACTAAAATTAATGAATTTTGTATCACAATTTAAAATATTAATTCAATTCTGAACAAAGTACACGGAGTAAAAACTGCAAACTGCAACTATTAATACTTCAGAGAAAAATATTTTTTTTAAAATACTACATTTGTAATACAATGCTAGAATTTGAGTATGTTTTACCTCAATGTGTCTACTAAAATCACAAACACTCAAATTAATGTATTTTGTATCACAATTTAAAATGTTAATTAATTTGTGAACAAAGTACACAGTGTAAAAACTGCAAACTGCTATTATTGATACATCAGAGAAAAATATTTTTTTTAAAAAGGCTACGTTTGTAATACTATGCTGGAATTTGAGTATGTTTTACCTCAGTGTGTCTACTTAAACTACAAATACTAAAATTAATGAATTTTGTACCACAATTTAAAATAATAACCGATTTTTGAGCCGAATACTCTTAAACACTAAAATTATTGATAATATTTTATATATTTTAATATAGACCACCAATTTATTTTTTCTTAAATATTTGATTAAATTATGGACATTGTTTATATATAAAATTTTTGTTATATATTTTTATTATATATTATTTATTCAAATTACTTAATTAATTTATTTATTTTTATTACTTGTATTTTCAAAAAGGATACAACAAATTTGTTTATATAAAACAAATCAGTCCCAGTTCGATTTCCTAGTTGAATTTATTTTTATCACAAGACTATTATTGAATAAATGCATTAAAATTCCTACTAATCAATTCAATGGCAATTATTAATTAAATAAAAATCGCTAAATACATTCATTACATTCTTCTTTATTAAATAATAAATGAATCATTGAACAAATGAATCTATGAATGTTTTTGTATGAACGCCATTGTTTTGCGCTCGAGATAAAATTCATATGGATGTGAGAAAAACTATTATTTATATTATATATATATATATATATATATATATACATATATATATATATTTATATATATATATAAATTAGATTATATATTTATCTGTCATCCTGTAATGTTTTTATCGTGTGTTTTTAGTCATTTGTTCTTTGTTCGCAAATTGGCGAACGTTGTTCGATTAAATTCTGCAAAATGTGATTGGTACAAATTTTTTAAATATTTGTAATTAAATAGTGATTCATATGTGATTTTTTTAAATTTAGAATGGTTATAAAAGTATCAAATTTTGTAAATAATATCAAATATCTAGGTGCGAAATATAATTTGAGTAAAATAAATAGTATAAATATGAAATCCTAAAAATAATTAAATATATGAAAGAAACTTTGTAGAAACGCCAATGAATAATATATAATTAAAATAATACTGATAATAAAAAAAGTAAAATAATATAAGCGATATTTATGGTTTGAATAAAATAAATAAAATGCATGGTAAATGTTTAATGAGTATTAATATGAAATCATAAAAATAATTTAATAATAAAAGAAATTTTATAGAAACGCCAATAAATAATAAGTAATTAAAATAATATAAAAAAATAATTCTTATAATAATTATCATAAAATGATATCAGCAATATTTGTGTTTTTCTTCAGCCAACTCTAAAATTCAAACTTAAAAATAAAAATTTCAGGTTTATAAAAAGAATTTTATAAAACATTTTAATTACTAAAATTAAACAAATATTCACAATTTAATCAATCGTTTAATAATTTGTTCAGTAAAAAATAACCATGTCTAAGAGATTCGTGAAAAAGACTTTGCGTTTCTTGAATAATGAATAATTAAAATTATATAAAAATAATAATTCTTATAATAATTATCATGAAATGATATTAGCAATATTTATGTTTTTCTTCAGCTAATTCTAAAATTAAAATTTGAAAATTAAAAATTTCAGGTCTATAAAAAGAATTTTATAAAACATCTTAATTACTATAATTAAACAAATATTCACATTTTAATTAATCGTTTAATAATTTAAGTAAAAAATAATAATGTCTAGAAGATTTGTGAAAAAGACTTTGCGTTTCTTGAATAATGAATAATTAAAATTATATAAAAATAATAATACTTATAATAATTATCATAAAATGATATTAGCAATATTTGTGTTTTTTTCAGCCAACTCTAAAATTCAAACTAGAAAATTAAAAATTTCAGGTCTATAAAAAGAATTTTATAAAACATTCTAACTGCAATAATTAAACAAATAATTACAATTAATTTCCTAATAATTCGTTCAGTAAAAAATAATCATGTCCAGGAGATTTGTGAAAAAGACTTTGCGATTTTTGAATAATGAATAATTAAAATTATATAAAAATAATAATACTTATAATAATTATCATAAAATGATATTAGCAATATTTGTGTTTTTCTTCAGCTAATTCTAAAATTGAAATTTGAAAATTAAAAATTTCAGGTCTATAAAAAGAATTTAATAAAAATTTCAACTCCAATATTTAAACAAATAATTACAATTAATTACCTAATAATTTGTTCAGTAAAAAATAATCATGTCTAGAAGATTCGTGAAAAAGACTTTGCGTTTCTTGAAATCAGGAAATCGCAAAAAAATGAAGATACTGAAAGAGTAAATATCATAATCTGGGGCAAAATTCACAATTATCTAATTTATATTTTTTTAATTTCAGAGATAAACCTGGCAGGACCAAATGCAGGGCTGTATTCAGTTACACACCCAACAATGAGGACGAATTAGCTCTAGGTGTAGGTGATATCATAGAAGTCCTTGGAGAAGTTGAAGAGGGCTGGTGGCGAGGAAAAAAGGATAATTGGTAAGTAGAAATTTTAAACCAATAGTTGATATATAATGCAATCTTCTTGCATTATTTTTTTATACTTCCTGGTCTTGGTTAAACATCAATCAGTTTTCTAATAATCCTGCTCATCCATACTATAAAAAATCTGTTTTCTCATTTTTTTTTTTTTTGATTTTTGTCAAATAACTCAAAAATTTCATATGGAACCACCTCTTTTTAGTTAGATAGGGTGAAACTAGATAAAATTTACTAAATTTCCTAGGTAACACTTTTATGCACTCCGATATAAAAGTTTTGAATAAAACGACTTTGAACTTGAAATATTTATTTAAATAATAAGTAAATATAAAAAAATATTTCTTCTTACATTTCGATACTAAGTGTGTGTCATCGTGTAACAGTTCAAACAAAACAATATAAACTACCTAAATATGAGAAATAAAAATTTAATTCAAAATTAAAAAATATTTGCAATTATAAAGCAGACAATTTGGTAAATAAATGTTAATACTAAAGTACGTTTTGGCACTTAATATGTGTCATATACTGTAAAGTAATAAAACAATATATAACAAAAAAAAATTTATTTCTAAATATTTCTAGACTTTTTCAATTTTCTTAATTTTTTGTAATTTTTGTGTAATTATTTTAAAACTGTTGATAGATGACATAAATCTAGTGTCGAAACGTACAAAATAAATATATTTCAATAATTTATAATTCATTGTGAGTTTTCATTTTTTAGCAACAAATAGAAAATTCGGGACATTTTTTTATATAATTTATGATTTATAATTTTATAAAATATATATACTTTTGATTGCAATTTTAAAGTATACCGAACTGGTGTAGGGTACTGTAATGTTAGAAATATTCTTAGATCATTTAATTTTGAACGGATTTGTAAAATATTATAATAATTTTGCATGAAGGGTTTAAAAGTTACAAGAGATTTAATAAATAAATACACAAATTAAGTGTACATACTACTGTACTGAAAAAAGTACCGGTAAGAATTATCTCGTGATTAGTTAGTGATAAAGTAACAAATTTACATTTTTTAAAAAAAAATTCTAGACAATTTTGTTCTGAGAGTTTCAACTTTTTATGTACGAAATTATAGATAATTTTATCAGCTTTCTAATGATATATAATATTGTTAATATATTTAATTAAATTATAACAAAATAAAAATAATTTTAAGCCAAAGCGTTGAAGCTGAAACAATGTGGATGCCTTACGAAGATTTTAATTTCAAAGTTTTTGACAAATAACTCACAGATAGGGTGAAACTAGATAAAATTTACAACATTTCCTAGGGAACACTTTTATACACTCCGATATAAAAGTTTTGAATAAAACGACTTTGAATTCGATATTTCGTTCTCAAGAAAATTCCACCATACTTGTCTTGTTTTTCCTCCTGATACACGTTTCATTTACAATGCAGGCTATTTTTTCTATAAAGTTTGATTATTTTTTTTAGTGTTGGTGTATTTCCTTCAAATTTCGTGGCACCAATAACAGGAAATTCAAGCCCAGTTTCTGGTGGTAGACAAAGGACGAAATCCCTTGATTCTAAAGGGTCTGCACATAGTGCCAGTAGCAGTAAGGAAGATCTTACAGCTGATGCTCCTTCTTTACCACCAAAACCAGGTAAATAGAAAAAAATAGATAGAAGTCTAGCTTTATTACAGCCAGCAATTGCATTTGATAATTGTCAGGATTAGAAGATACAAAGTGTGCATTTTTATGTTAAGAGTTCTGAAAAGATGTCTAGTTTCTGTAATTTTTTATCTAAAGTTGTATTTGGTGTCCTGGCAGAAGTTCTAATAGGACATTAAGAATCTATTATCCAAGAAATTTTGAAAGACACCAAGTATCATTATGTGTCCTATCAGGAGTTTTTACCAGACATTTTACCTGTGTCTGGTGTCCTTGCAACAATTTTTCTATGTATATGTAATGTATCTATTGTCTACTTTTTAGTGAGAGAGCAGTGTCGAGTTCTCTTCCCATATGATGCACAAAACGAGGATGAATTGAATTTAAGGGAAGGCGACATCGTCACAATTATCACGAAAGAGGTTCTGGACAAGGGCTGGTGGCGAGGTGAACTCAGAGGCAGGACTGGAGTGTTTCCTGATAATTTTGTTCAAATAATTCCACAAGACGGTAAGGGTATCATGGACACATATTAATTGAATTTTATTTATCTACTAGATGACCCGACAGACGTTGTCCTGTACCCATATCTACATTTTTTTAATATCCTATACTAATATTTACCGTTCAGTTAAAAATAATAATTATTGTTTTTCGAATTACTATTTACACAAATATATGAGTGATGTTAAATGTAGAACTGCTTAAAATGAAATGATGATTCTCAATTCCCACAGTTAACACTTTAATTATCCCTTTAACAAATATTAAAATATGTTCAATAAAATTGTATATCAAAAATTATACACTGCGATTTATAGAACAAATTTATTTCCAATAGCTCAATTTATTTTAATGCCCAGGGTTATACAATTTTTTAGTCATACCTGTAGATGCGGATGTATAAATGAATGATTTTTTTTTTATTCACGACTAAAACATTGATTTTCCAAATTTTTTGCACAAAAAATCATCGTCTGCCTTTGTGATTTATAGCATAAGATATACGTAATGGAAATTGAAGTCTTTTAAAAGGTACAACAAATTCAGGAAGAATTAATATATAGCATTCCCGGTTTCAATAATGTTGCCTATAATTTTTATAATTTCGTACCATATTTTAACTGGCTTTTAATAAATTTAAATTCTAAATTACACTTTTTTCACTAATAATCCATTATACATTATTACTTAAGTTCATATTTGAAGTGAATTAATTTGTCAAATCCTGTTCACACGTGCTCTATTCAACCTACGATCAACAAAATTATTGCAGTAAATGGAGAGGAAAAAAGCGTATGCCCTGCAAATTTTTTTACTGTACCCCAATTTACTTGTTATTTTGGAAATAGGCTAATCTTAATCTGAAGTTCAGAAGTGAAAACAATTTGCACTCTGTCACGACCCCACCGCATTAATTGGATTATAACTCTTTTAATTTTGATTTTATCACAACTTGTAATAAACTATTTTAAGGTAATTCAATGAGCTACAACTTTCTCTATTATAAATTTTACCGTAACTTCTCTTATTTTGAAACGGCGAAGGGTTAAAGGGCTAGAAAGACACTCTGGTTGGACAGCCGAGCACTCTTTAAACAATCATAACTCTATCAATATTTGTGTGACAGAAAAATAATAAAAAGCAATAATTAGTCAGAAAAAGACCTTGAATTTCAGAGATATAATAATGAGCAATTGGTTGTTCTCTGGAATGGATTTTTTTCATGAAATCATGAGTTTTTTGAAAATCGTTTGTACTAAAGTTATGGTATTTTCTAGAATCCATTTAGATCTCTTAAACCAAATTAATTCTAGATGGAATACGACCATTTTTAATTTTGGTAGAAATGGCACTTATAAACTATTTGATTTAAATGAAAAAAAAAACATTGTATGCGTCTTTTATTTGCATGATAGCTCCTCTCATTTTACACGCAGAAGTACTCATTTTAAAGCTTATTTTGAGCACTATACAAACCCATTTTCATATCTAGCTTAATATCGTTTCTAGCACACGTTATAAAACACCGATTTATTAAGATTTTAATTTATATAATTTTGTTCATTTTATTATTTTCGTTAAAATGTATATTTCTGAAGGTATTAGCAAACAAAGCTTTTAATATTTCTTTAGCGTTTAATTAAAAAATAATAATCTGTCAAATTGTATTTTAATATAGGTTATACAGACTGCATCACCTATCAGACGCTCGTTGACTATATCTTATTATATTCTTTTAATTTTTGGCACATCTTTTTGGCAATAATAATGTAGACATTACATTTTCCTTATTTATAATCATGAATTTATCAGATTTTAATATTGTCTTAGCCTATAAGTGAATGGAAATGTTTGGCAAATAACAGTCTTCATTTGTTTTTAATGTCAAACAATGCATCAAATATTTTCAATGTCAATGAGTGAGTTTTTTGTAAATTTTTCCATTTATTTCTACAATCTAACTATATTTCTATAATTCGAAAAATGTTAAAAGAATCCCATAACAACCTTCAGACAGATTTAGCAAAATTTGAATAATCGTTTAGGAGGATTATCCTTTCATACACCATTACAGAAGAATTTTATATATAAGATATATATATATATATATATATATTTATATATATACTAGATGACCCGACTGACGTTGTCCTGTACCCACACCTACAATTTTTTAATATAATATACTAATATTTACCGTTTACTTAAAATTAATAATTATTGTTTTTTTAAACTACTCTTTACGCCAAAATGCATATACATTTATAATATGAGCGATGTTAAATGTAGAACTGCTTTAAATGAAATGATGAGTGATTATTTTAATTTCTGGCACATCTCAGCTGCTTTACGGCAATAATAATGTCGACATTGCATTTTTCTTATTCATAATCATAAATTTATTATACATATTTTAGTATTGTCTAGGTTCATAAGTAAATTGAAATTTTTGGCAGATGATAGTTTTCATTTGTTTTCAATGCAAACAATGACATGTCGTTATTAACAATTTTTTCCATTTATTTCTACAATATTGCACATACATCCCAGTACTTTATAATCACATACATACTAGAAAATTTCCTTAACAAAGTTCAGAAAGATCTATCAAAATCCGAATAATCGTTTAGGAGGAGTATACAGTGAGTGCTTGTAATTTAATATGAACTTTATATAATAGCAATAAAGCTCAAATTGATTTTACGTTTTAGTTAGAAAACGTTTGTATGAGAAAAAGAAAAGGGGATGTTTTTAGGGTTTTCCCGGCATTTATTCGATTTTTTCTCGCCGTCCTTGGACTTCAACGAACATTTAAAAAAAAAGAATTGTCCAAATTAGTCCTGGCGTTGTTGTGTTATGCGCTTACCAACACATTTTGCGATTCATTTTCATATATAACTATTTATCTATCACCTCTTCCAGCTTTATCGCCTGCCAGAGAACCAGGGATCACAAAACCGGCAAGGATAACCTCCAAATCTACGAATAGCACAAAAACGACCACTGTCACAAGTTCTTCCTCAACTTCATTAACGCCATCGACAACCACGACCAGTAGCACAACGTCCTTAACCACCTCACCAGCAATCAGCAACCACAGAAAAGACAGCTTCAGTTCCAAACAGACCTCGGCCACAAATGTCAGTTCCAGCAACTCTGCATCCACCACCACCGGTACAGTAGCCTTGACGAGAAAATCGCTGGAGATGAAAATCGAGGCGGAATCCGAAAAAACAAAATCGACAACCGGTGCACCGCCTTTACCAGGGAAAAAACCTAGTGTGCCCACCAAGAAGAGCCCCATAGCCTCTTTGGCCGGTGGCATTTTTGCTGGTTTAAAGCAGAGGGTGAAAGAGGTCGAGCAGAGGTTGACGAACGATCATCCGGACGGTTGTGCTAGTAGTAAGATAGCGATTTCTCCGAATAATACTAATAACGCTAGTGAATTGCCAGGGGAAAAAGGCGTTAAAGGAGTTAGTTTGAAGACGGACGAGTCTAGTGAATTTGATCAGGTTGAGAGATCTGCCCTTCTGCAAGATCCGAGGGCTTTGAGACCTAAGGCTCCTGGTAGGAGACCGCCGAGTCAGGTTGCTCCTAAGGAAGAAACTTCACCAGGTAAGGGTAATAGATATATGGGTCATTCTTTAATTTATAGTACAAATTTATTTCCAATAGCTCAATTTATTTTAATGCCAAGGGTTATCTAACATTATTAGTCATGCCTGTAGATGTGGATGTATAAATGAATCCTTTTTTTGTTTATTCACGACTAAAACATTGATTGTCCACATTTTTCGCACAAAAAATCATCGCCTGCCTTTGTGATTTATAGCATAAGATATACGTATTGGAAATTGAAGTTTTTTAAAAGGTATAACAAATTCAGAAAGAATTAATGTATAACATTCCCGGTAAAGGTCCAATATCACCTTGAATTTTTCTACCCAAAATAATGGCTTCAATAATGTTGCCTATAATTTTTATAATTTCGGACCATATTTTAACTGGCTTTTAGTAATTTTAATATCTAAATTACATTTTTCTCATTAATAATTCAATATACATCATTACTTAAGTTTATATTTGAAGTGAATTAATTTATCAATTCCTGTTCACATGTGCTCTATTCAACCTACGATCAACAAAATTATTGCAGTAAATGGAGAGGAAAAAAGCGTGTGCCCTGCGATTTTTTTTTACTGTGCTCCAATTTGCTTGATATTAATAGGGTAATAGATATATGAGTCATTCGTTTACAAACCGCACATTAAACAGACTTTGACATTTTAGGATTGTTTGAAATTTTTTTTACAGATATTATACATAAAATAATTTGACACGTATTTCAGGATTTTGATAAAAAACATTTTTTACGTAAATATTTGCGATTAAAATTTGGATAATTTGCTCAATTTTGATGATCTTCCTCTGCATTAATCTTAATATCTCCAGTTGTGGTGAACAGATCAGTATGATTTTTTTTTATTGCACTCATTTTGAATTCAACTTTCAGTTAATTGAAAAAAAAATTGTTTTTGTAATTTTTTGACGATAAAAGCAGCCTATTGTTAACATAGGATTTACATACCCTTTCCCCAACTCGAATCGATTGAAATAAAAAACATAATTTTTCTTTTACTCTCTACTACAAATTCTCTTTATATGATGTTGGAGGCGCAGTTATATCCAAAGATATTAAATATTTTATGTAAATCCTATGTTAACAACAGACCGCTTTTATTGTTAAAAAATTACAAAAACAATTTTTTTTCAATTAACTGAAAGTTGAATTCAAAATGAGTACAATAAAAAAAAAATCATACTGATCTGTTCACCACAACTGGAGATATTAAGATTAATGCAGAGGAAGACCATCAAAATTGAGCAAATTATCCAAATTTCAATCGTTAATATTTTCTTTAAAAAAGTTTTTAAAGCAAAATCCTGAAATACGTGTCGAATGATTTTATGAATAGTATCTGTGAACAAATTTTCAGATAATTCTAAAATGTTGAGGTTAATTGGTGTTCGGCATACTAACCAGACTTTGACTTTATAGGATTGTTTGAAATTTTTTTTACAGATATTATTCATAAAATCATTTGATACGTATTTCAGGATTTTGCTGAAAAAAATATTTTTTTACGTAAATATAAGGTTGTCAAATATCTCCCTTCCGCCTTTTTGTTTTATAAACCAAGAGCAAAAAAGCGGAAGGGAGATATTTGACAACCTAATATTTACGATTAAAATTTGGATTTTTTGCTCAATTTCTATGAACATGCTCTATGGGTAAATTATTTTTTCCAGGTGTGCTGATCGGATCAGCATTATTATTTTTTTACTACCCTTTTTACTACTATTAAAGTGAACTTTGTAATAATTTTAAAATAAAACTAAAGGTAAAGGTGGAGGTAGAGTAAAAGTAAAGGTAAACAGATAGAAAATAAACAATCTCAATTTATTGTCCATTATTGCTAGTGACCAAGTACAAGTTCATTTTTCGTCCACACATTATTTTAGTTGTTTTTTTGCATTCAAATTGCAAAAAATGGGCTTCCTCCAGCTCCAATGAAGCTATTTGCTTTTAGTGTTTATTTTAGTTACATAAACATTTGAAGAAATCTTGAAAGCCCTTGAAATTTATTGAACATGAAGCTAAATCACTTATCATTTATTACTATTAGTGAGTCATCATTAGGATTATTGGATTCCCAAATATTGTATTAAATAGTATATTAACCAAATTTTGGCATTTGTGAATTAGTGTTCATTTTAGTTAAATAAACCTTTGAAGAAAGCTTTAAGAAAGCCCTTGAAATTTATTGAACATGAATAACTTATCATTTATTACATTAGAGGGTTATCATTGGGATTATTGGATTATAAATTGGTATATTAAACAAATTATTTGCCTCAGGTATAATGAACGGAAAGTATAAGTTCATTTTTAGTCTATACGTTATTCAAGTTTTTCTTCTGCATGAATATTTCGGTGGAATAAAAGGGCTTCCTCCAGCTCCAATAAAAATTTTAGTGTTCATTTTAGTTACATAAACTGGTATCATTTATTATCATTTATTATTCATTACCATTACTGGGTTATATCATTAGGATTATTGGATTCCAAATTGGTATATTAACCAAATTTTTGCCTCGGAAAGTATAAGTTCATTTTTAGTCTATACGTTATTCAAGTTGTTTTTCTACATCAATATTTCGGTGGAATAAAAGGGATCCCTCCAGCTCCAATGAAGATACTTGCTTTCAGTGTTCATTTTAGTTACATAAATTGGTATCATTTATTATCACTCATCATTTATTACCATTACTGGATCATCATTAGGATATTTGGATCCCAAATTGGTATATTAACCAAATTATTTGCCTCAGGTATAATGAACGGAAACGCCTCAGACCACCAAAATTTATCCGATCTTCAATCAGATGCCATAGTTGAAGACGAATGTGTAAAACCAAAAACCCGCGAATGGGAAAAGCACAAAGCTCCCTGGATGGAAGAGCTGAAGCTCAACCAGGCCAAAAAGGGCGGCGACAAAGTGATAGACAAATCTGCATCGATAGACATCGATAAAAAAGACGAGGGCAAAAAAGAGAACTTGAATCCTTTGGAGATGTCTAAAAGCATGACGTCGATATCTAGCAGGATTAAAATAGAGGCGTCAACCGGTGATTTGGTGGCTACGAGAAAGGAGTCTTCAGATTTGACCAAGTCTATGACATCTATAGCCAAGGATGACACAAGTCCTTCCAAGACTACGAGTGGGCTTTTGAGGAATCGGAGTATCTCACCAATATCTAGACCTTTAGGATCGACTCCTCTGCGACCAGTTGCGATATCAGCCAACGATGTTTCAACCTCCAAACTGGAAAAAACAGACGCCAAAGTTGTCATTAGGATGAACAACAAATCCTTCGACAAGGCAAGTGGTGACGAGAGCGGCAGCACGGAAACCAAGTTGCTCCAGGAATTAATTGACAAAATCGCCAGACTCGAGGCGTCTTTTGAGAAGGAAACTAAACGTTTCGAAACCGCCATCGAAAAATTATCCAATCAACTTGAAATTGAAACCAGGGAACGGATAGCTGTTCAAGCTGAGCTTGAAAAATTATCTAATTGCGTTACCCAAGTATGAGGTGAGGGATTTTTGAAAAATTGTAAATAAAGTGAGTTGTGATTATTTTTGCTCCACCTGGTGCTTCATTCTGACATTTTACCATACTGACTGATACCATACACACAAATAAATTGACATGATGATATATAAAAATAGTAAAAACTTGAACTTGTTTGTGTTTTTTTGATATGCTTAACAGTTTATATTATATAGGTAATAATTTTAATAGTTAATTCGTTAAAGTTTTCAATTTTTACTAATAGAGTTTTTTACGTTTTGCGTCGACCGCAAAATGTGTTAAAGCTGATCAAGATGATGATTAAGATGATGATGATGAAATTTTATATCGAAGACAAGATTTAATAGCTTGTTGTTTGTATTATAAATATATGTTATTGATTATATTTGGAAGTTTTTAGACAAGACTAAAAGATCGAGATTTATGATGTTAGTATTATTATAAACAAATTTTTCTGTTCGAAATATTACTACGAGAGTAGTAACTATTGTGGTATTTAAGGGTATGAAATTTGCAAAAAATCGAATTTTTAATTTTTCCATATTTCGATAGGTTACACCTTTAAAAATAACATATCAAATTTTTTTATATCTTAAATAGTTTTTGAGTAACAGCCATTTGAAGAGTATATATATAGTGTATAGTATAACGATAATTTTATCTAAACGCGTTTTTCTCGAAACAGCATTTTTCGAATTTGCAGCAGCGATTACTCAAAAACAAATAATCCGATCACTATCGAATTTTTTTTACATGTTCTATATATAGTTCTCCGTAAAATAAACTATCGATTTTTTGATCGGATCAAAAATCGAATTTTGGCAGTCCAAAAACGATCAAAATTTTGGGTAAAATTCTACTTTTAAAAAAAAAAACGCCGTCATTTTGTCAATTTTTGATTTTTTTTATCGTAGGTCATTTTACAGACAATATTATCTAGTTTAACGAGAATTTTCTTTAATATTTTATCCGAATCACTGCAGCAGTGAAGGGCCTTTTTTCGCGCCGTTGGAGATCGACGATAACTTAAAAAATATTTAATTTTTTTCTTCAAAAATTTTACTATGTATTCTTAAAACATGTGTAAATATATTCTTAAAATTTTGTAATGATTGATAAAGTATTTTTTTTAATATAAATTTCCAAAAATTACCTTTTTTTAGGCGGTTACACTAGTTGTGCCCCTTAATGATGATTTTGTAAAGTTAAATGAAACAGGATTCCGCAAAGCGTCTTCATATTTTTATTTCAAGAATTATTATGTGGTATTTATTTTTTATAATTTTTAAAAATAAGAAAAGAACTCTACAGACGAGCAAACTTAAATGACATCTTTAAAAATAAGAAAGGGAAAATAAATTCCCAAAAATCACCTTTTTTAAAATGATCTACGATAAAAATAAAAAATCGAAAATTGACAATATGGCGGCGTTTTTTAAAAAAAATCGAATTTTGCCCAAGAGTTTGGTCGTTTTTGGCCTGGCACTTATAAACGAAATAGGCTTGAAATTATAAGAGTAATTTCTATTTTCGGTTACAAAAATGTTATATGGCAACACTATGGACGTAGTCGATAATTTAGCTACGTTATTCAAAAATAAGCCTCTAAATTTATGAAAAAAATACAATCACACCCCCAAATTTACTCGTCTGGGATTTTAATGGAACTTTGTGCTGCAAAATATTAAAGGCCTATGAAAAAATTTAAATAATAGAGTACGCACAATACTTACGTAAACAGTGTTTCATACTAATGTCTACGTAGCTCAGTTAGTTTAAGCGCCTGCTCCTACTTTTTGTGTCGTTTCAATTTGCGTCGCATTATTTTTTTCTAATAATACTACCATCATAAGACGTTTCGGATCAATGTTTTACCCAACATTCCCCGCTAGGTGATATTTGTTAAAATTGAAATTTAAACGAAAGCATTTAACAATTAATTAATCCATTCTAATTAGTACTTAATTTTAATTACAGAAGTAATATAAATAATAATATAGTCAACGATGTATCATTTTATTATATAAAATGTTTCCTTTTTTACTATTAAACATTTATTAACGAGTTGAGAATATATTTAGTTATATAGAATATTTATATAAAGTGATTAATTTTAAGAATAATATAATTGAAAGAATGTTCCACCATATGTAGTAGTCGGAGGATAAATAAATAGATAAATATTTATTTATTTATTCTGCGATTTGTTTATTTTGTAAATTCTATTAACATATGTATATTATATAGTCTATAAGATAATTTTAATAGAGCCAGATATAATATTTTTTATTAATTTTAACGACTTTGTGACAATTTCCAGAAATTTTCAATAATTATATATATATACATATATATATATATATATATATATATATATATATAATTATTGAATTTTGTTTTTAATTTCTCATCACATTTCGCTTAGGTGAAATTTGCTATTTTATAAATAATCTTATTGTTATTATATATAAAAAGTGCTTTATGAAAGGATTAATAAAAAATCTTTATTGTAAAATAATTATTTTTCCTATATATACTAGCTGGCGCGGCAAACGTAGTAAAAAAATTCTATTGTGAATATGGATTTATGTGTTATATATGTGAAAGGAGCACCTAAAGCAATTTATATGGATGGTTTATCAAATTCAAGCTCAGAAAATGTTGATTGAAATTTAATGAGTTAGATGAATGTGCCATTTACAACTAACTAGATATATTATTATTTATATTGTGAATTTATAGCCCATGTACCAGAAAATCCGACTGGCCAATTTGAATATATTTTTATGAATAAACCCGTAAGGTGAGTTATTGTAATGGCAAAAATTCGAACAAAGAAAAATTTTTGCTTTGAAGAAGTGCTGATTAGTTTTTATTAAAGGCAGGTCCAGCTATTTCGAAAATAAGGGGCAAAAAGTGCGAAAGGACAATTTAATTTTTGAGATTCAATAAACATTATACTTGTGTTTACGGAATGAAGAACTGATTAAATTTTTGCAAAAGGTTCAGCGGATTTGGAAAAGCAGAATTTTTGTTAGTAAATATGAATAAAAAAAATTGATTAAATCTTATTATACCTCTAAATTACACTTAGAGGACTTTTATTAATCACGTGATACTTAAAGGGTGATGGAGGAATATAAAAAAATCACGAAATGTAATAGGGAAGGGAGCGTTCAGTAAAATGTCACTTATTTTTAAGTTAGATTTTAAAAAAACCTAAAATGCTTCAAAAGTATTAAAAATTGTATGATTTTTTTAAGAACTCAAAATACACACGATGGTTAATGGGAGATAAAGGTAATTTTAAAAAATATCACCACGTATGACCGAAGGGAGCGGGGTTCAAAAAATCTTAAAAATCGGTCACGTGATCGATAGACACACTCCCTTATCAGGATCTTCATGCAACTTGCCACAGGGCAAACTAGTTGTTGATTATTCACATTCATTATTTTTATTGAACTTTCCCAAGGAGAATTTTGTTTCACGAAAAAATCTGAGTTAATGCTTTTTCGACTCAGGTGATTTTGAATTTTAGCTTCCCGTAGGGTAGTTATAGTAATCGCAAAAAAATCGAAAATAAATTTTTTTATATATCTTTACGTTTCAAAGAATTTTGAACATTTTGGCATATCTTAGAGAAAATGGATGCGTGTGTGTTTTGTGTGTCCGCATTTTTTTGGTCCACGTTTTCGGGCGCACGGATCAACCGATTTGAATGATTCATTTATCATTCGATTCCTATTGATAGGGACATGTGCTGATGAGTTTTTGGCAAAGGCAGGTCCAACCGTTACGGAGGTACGGAGCAAAGAGTGCAGAAAATACAAATCGAGTTTTTGAGGGATCGGAGTATCCGATTTGAATGATTCAAAAAATATTTTACTTATATTGACGGAATGAAGAACTGGGTAAATTCACTGATGTAGGTCCAGTGATTTCGGAGATTCAATAAAAAAAGTGAAAATTATTGGCGGTCAAATCATTAGAGATATGTACATCAAATTATCAGATTTTACAGAAATTTTAATAATAAGTACAAATTGTGTTAACATTCCTATGGGTTCCGTACTAAGATTCATAGTATTCGACCATTAGACCCCGACGTGGCGCTTATGCGCTTTGATATTTCGTCTACAAAACAACATTTCTTAGCGGTCGCTTGGAAAAAATCAATTCAGGAATTTGGCTCAAGGCACGATGCCATGAACCACAAGTTTATCTGCAGCAGACATTGCTTTTCCAAATCAAGACACGTTAGGGGCGTTCATTAATCACGTGGGAGAGGGAAGGATTTACTTTTTACCTGGATTTAAAAAAAAAATTACGATTTTTCCGTAAATTCGAAAAATTTTACGTAACTAAAAATACACGTGATGTTTGCTGGGGGCAGGGCGGGGCATATTAAAATATCACGACATATCACCGAAGGAGAGGGGGTCCAAAAATGCCTAAAAAATTGATTTCGTGATTAATGGATGCCCCCTTATGTATTGAAGTTATTTGTTAACTTCTCGTAGGGTAGTTAAAGTAATGGACCGAAAATCTAACATGGAAATTTTTGCATTTCTCGACGTTTTGAAGGTTTCTGAATTTTGGCATACCTCAGATATAACAAGATGGCAAAAATAATGAAAGTTACAGAGTATTTGTAATAATATATTTGAAAACGTTTAAAATTTCTCGAATATTTCATTACGGTACGGGAAGTTCCAGCAATTTGCCTTAAGGCACGATGCCATACACCACTAGTTTATGATTTTCTATCCAATCAACCCTTTCAAGATACAATGAAAGCACCTTTATCTCTCCGCCAATGTGGACTAACCCCTAACACCAACACCAACACTCTTCTACTAAGCCATTGTATTTTTGTTACGAAGTTATAGAATTTATTAAAACTCTTCTTCGATCACTCAGGTTGTTAGGTTATGATTTAACTCTTGTAGATGTGGACTGTATTAAACACTGATTTGTTTGTATATTATGTATTTGTTGCAGTTCTAATTACAATCACTGATTTGCTACTAAGTTATAATGAAAGAATATATATTTATTTTAATTGGTTATTTACATGTTGTTAAGCGGACTTTACTTTTAGAAGTGAACAACTGGTTCAATTAAAACACTCCGTTACCTCCTTTACCAGGGGTAGTAACCATTCCGTGTGAAGCTTAATGCCCTGAAGTTTGTCACCTTCATGGCCAATATAATAAAACGAAAAGACGTCCGAACAGCCATCGTCTTATACCGTTTGTTTCCACCTCCGACTGTACCTGTTGAACGACAACTACTACGACGACGACATAGACAGAGTACATACACCATCGGCCGCCTTAGCCCCGACAGGTACCGCCGCCGCCTTAGTAGTAGCACACAGTACAGGTTCCTTCGTACTCGTCCGGCCGCCCGCCCGAAGACGAGAGACCAGCGTCTCTCGAGAAACGAATCCAGTTATTTAGTCAAATCAGTATTCGATGTGATCTCCTCGTGGTAAAAGACAACCCGGTTGCAAATTGTAAAAGATACACATAAATTAATAAAGAAGATAAATAGTCAGATAAATAAATAAAAGTGATTGGTAGTAATAAATATATAAATTGTGGTACTAGTGAAAAAGTTATGTAAAGTGAATTAAGTGAAACGTGAATTGTGGCTTTTGTGTTTTATAAACACGCTGCGAGGTTTTGTTTTGCATATTTTAGTTTAACGGTGAATATTAGTATATTGAGTTACTGATATACTGGATTTTTATTTATATATATATATATATATATATATATATATAATGTTAAATTTTTCTAATTTTGATGTTGAGATATGTGAGATTCAATCTTCAGGGCAATACATCAATTAAACTAGCTGTAAGTGGAATTCTGTCTTGAGGCAATTATGGCATCGTGCCTTAAGGCAATTTGCTGGAACTTCCCGTACCGTAACGAAATGTTCGAGGAATACTGAATGTTTTCAAATAGATTATTATAAATATTGTAATATTGTCTAATATTTATAAGAATTATATAAACTGAATTGCAAAGTTGAAATTATTTGTTTAAAGTATATTAGAACTATAGTCAGAATTATTTGTAAAGTATATTAGAACTATAGTCAAAAAATAAAATCTGAATTATTTTCGATATACCAAAAACTAACAAAAAAAAAAAAAAAAAAATTGGAACAATTTTTTTTTCCAAAATCAATTATTTTGTTAAGACAAGCAGAAAGTTCTTTGAATCATTCAAATCGGACGCTTAGTTCTCTCAAAAACTGCCATTTTTTACATATTTAGCTCCGTATCTTCAAAATGGCTGGTGGGCCTGCCTTCGCCAAAAACTAATAAACACTTCTCCCAATCATTGCTAATTGAATGTTTTTTAGATCATTCAAATCGGATTCTCCGTTCTCTCAAAAACTCGATTTCTATTTTCTGCACTCTTTGCTCCTTATCTTCGTAACTGCTGGACCTGCCTTTGCCAGAAACTAATCAGCACATCTCCTTATCAATAGGAATCGAATGTTTTTTGAACCATTCAAATCGGTTGATCCGTGCGCCCTAAAACGTGACTGAAAATTTGTATCCATACATACATACACACACACACATCCATTTTTTCTGAGGTATGCCAAAACGTTCAGAAACCTTCAAAACGTCGAGAAATGTAAAAATTTTCAATTCCGATTTTCGACCCATTACAATAACTTACCCTACGGGTTACAGTTATGACTTTAAAACATTTTTATTGTTTCTATACGTTTCGACACATTGTTTTGTGTCATCCTCAGTGGACTATGTGATTCTAGTAATCCTAATTATTTCATAGTAATAATTGTTCACAATTGTACGATAAAAACAATTCTTGTCACTTTAAATCGGAATGTTCACTCTTGCATCGGAATACGGAACTAATTAGCGAGATGTTCTATATCTATACAATAAAAAATTCGTTTTAAAAAATTTTATATATTTGTTCCGATTTAAAGTGACAAGAATTGTTTCTATCGTACATTTGTGAACAATTATTACTATGAAATAATTAGGATTTAGATTTAGATTTTAATTAATTAGGTTGATTGTTGTACCAGAGTGGCGCTTAGACTGTGCTTAGCCTGGGTATTTTTTTTAATTTTTAATCCAATATTACAAAAACATTTTATGGAAAATAAAAAAAAATATCTTCAAAAGCAATTGTTTTCGGGCGCTTAGTTCACTCAAAAACTGCAATTTTTGCACATTTTGCTCTAATTCTTTGAAACCGCTGGACCTACCTTTGCCAAAAACTAATCACCTTTTCTCCCAATCATTACAAATTGAATGTTTTTTAGGTCATTCAAATCCGATTCTCCGTTCTTTCAAAAACTCGATTTGTATTTTCTGCACTCTTTGCACATTCAGCACATCTCCCTATCAATAGGGATCGAATGTTTTTTAAACCATTCAAATCGGTTGATCCGTGCGCCCGAAAACGTGGACGAAAAATTGTATCCATACATACATACATACACACACACACACACAACCATTTTTTCTGAGGTATGCCAAAATGTTCAAAAACCTTTGAAACGTAAAGATAAATAAAAAATGTATTTTCGATTTTTTGCAATTTCTATAACTTACCCTACGTGAAGTTAATAAAGATGTTTTAAAACTCTTTATTTATTTTTTAATTGATGTTACGCCCTCCAAGAAATTAATCATACATTTCAACATCAAATTTATAATTTTGTACATTTTCTTTGTGTTTTCCCTGGTTTAATTACTGATGACACACATTAAGTGTCGAAACGTTTAATAGAATAAAGAATTTTTCTATTTTTTAACCTTTTTTAATTCGACACATGTTTCTTTTCCAAAAATCCAATAAATGAGAAATAATAAGTTTTTATGGAGACGTTACGGAACTAAATACGTTTCATCCAGTTTTTCTGCCAAAAACAATTTTTATATAGACATTCTAGTTTCTCAAAACATATTATTAATAATTTTTTATTATATTTTTTTTTTCTATAAATAATATATTAATTTATAATTATTTATATGCAAATATAAATATGATAATTAATATAACTTAATAACATTTTTTATATGTTTCTTTTTTAGCAAGTGTTTTAGTGTTGAAATTATCAGAAGTATTATAAAATTTTTAAATTGTAAATTTCTAAATATGTGATAATGGGTAAAGTTTTAAATAATTTGTGTTGTTTTTGAGACAAAATAGTTTAAATTTTAAATAAAAACAAGTTTTAAATAAGTGACGTGATGTCTGCCAGGATATTTGAAGTCGGAGAGGATCTGAATTTCAGGTAAATTTATAAATACATGTTTATATAAATATATATATATATATATATATATGTGTGGGAGTTGTAATGATTATGATAATATATTAAATTAGAAACTCCCAATATAAAAAATATATCAAATTTATTGACTATAAAAATATTACGATATCAAAAATAAACATGACAAGTACCATCGTTTTTTACAAATCATAAACAGCCTGCTTGATATCCCCACATATATATATATATATATATATATATATATATATAAATATATATAAAGAATAGTTGATTTTGATGTAAAAATATATGCATAAAATCTTATAATAAATGCATATTTGTCGTCACCTCTCGTACCACATACAATTATTATTTATTTATACAACGTATTTCTCATACAATTTATAAATCATTCATTATTTGTTTTGGTAGTTTTATTTATTGTTTCTATATTATCTGTTGTTCTTCTTATTTTCTAAAGTTAGTAATTTTTATTCATTTTTATTTACCTGTTCGGTTGTCGTCGCCTCTCGGACTAAATCGAACTTTGCAAGTATTACGCATACGAATTATAAATAAACATTAATCGGACGAATGAACATCTTTCATACTAATCGAGAAAAAGCAATAATTGTTGACTAACAGGACTTGCATATTAAATAAGAGATGATTTCATACATGTATATATATATATATATATATATATATATATATATATATATATATACGAGGTGTGTTCAAAAAGTACCCGGAATTACTAATAATTAAATTTCGCGGGTCTGGAGTGTCTGATTGTCAAAATTTTTTTTTTATTGTGTTGGTATACATGCCCCTAAAGTATGATGAAATTTTCAGCTATATTCACTGTTTACTTTGTCTGTGGTAGTCGCTAAGGTTCGACGTGTTTTTCTGAGCTCGGCGATTTTTACAATGGAAGAATTGAAAAGTCAAAGAATTTGTATTAAATTTTGCGTAAAAAATGAAATAAAGTGTTGCAAAGTGCAAAAATTCACCAGATATGGCTCCGTGTGACTTTTTCCTATTCCCAAAGTTGAAGAGACCCATGAAAGGACGGCGGTTTTCCTCGATTGAAGAAAATCGCTGAGAGTGCTCAAGGACATATCAAAAAGTGAATATCAAGGGTGCTTCGAAAATTGGAAAAAACGCTGGCATAAGTGTATTATATCTGGGGGGGACTACTTTGAAGGGGACCACATTAATGTAGACGAATAAATAAATATTTTTTTGAAAAAACGAAAATTTCGGGTACTTTTTGAACAGACCTCGTACACATTAAGTTGGTCCTTAATATGGAAATTTTTGAACTTCTTCGCTCCCAAGGACTCAAATGCTTCCAAATTGATAAAAAAAAATCTCAAAAGTTTAGATATTAATATTGACTTTTAGATAGTCTGCAATTTCATTTGAGCACCTGGTAGAATTGATCAATAATATAATAATATAAAATACTCTTGACTTGTCCATCATTAGTAAAAGTCAGAGCAAAGCGAGTCTGGGAATACTAGTATAAACATATAACATATTTCTACTTTTTTATTCACAATACAATGCCAGAATCCCTGAACCAATTTCTGTATATCAAAATTTATAAACAATCCATTGTTAAATTTTCATTAAAATCCTTCTGCAAAAGTCGTAAAATTCAAAACCAATGTCTGTCGTCTAGCGAATTGTTAATAAATTCCATTGTTAAACAATTGAGTTATGTGTAGATTGTTTATAAAAGATTGTTTCTAAAATATTCTTGTAGTACATTAATACAATGGATTTGTTTAATGAAATCTAATATAATTTATACAATTTAAAATTTCTATGGTTATTGTATGAATGAATTAAACATTAGGAAGAGACATTGGCCTCTCTTGGATAAGACAAGCAAGGCAGAGTTATTTGAAATGATTAAAAAAATTATAATGATAAAATGAAAATAATAGAGGGTAATCTATATTATTTTTTACAGCCATCCAACGTTTTTTTTAACTTCCCGTAGGGTAGTTATAGTAATATAGAAAATTGAAAATGAAAATTTTTGCATTTCTCATCTTGAGGCATACCTCAGAAAAAATGGATGTGTGTGTGTGTTTTGTATGTCCGCATTTTTTCGTCCACGTTTTCGGGTGCACGGATCAACCGATTTGAATGATTCAAAAAACATTCGATTTCTATCGATAGAGAGATGTGATGATTAGTTTCTGGCAAAGGCAGGTCCGGCCGTTACGGAGATACGGAGCAAAGTGTGCAGAAAATACAAATCGAGTTTTTGAGAAAACGGAGTATCGGATTTGAATGATCTAAAAGAGATTCAATTTGTAATGATTCGGAGAAGAGGTGATTAGTTTTTGGCAAAGACAGGTCCCGCCAATTCGAAGATACAGAGCTAAATGTGCAAAAAATTGCAGTTTTTGAGTGAACTAAGCGTTCGATTTGAATGATCTAAAAAACTTTCTGCTTATTTCAACAAAATAATTGCTTTTGGAAAAAAAATTTTGTTTCTATATTTTTTTCAAAAAAATATTTTTGTAATTTTGAATTAAAAATTTAAAAAATGACCCAGTCTAAGCGCAGTCTAAAAATAAAGAAAGTTACAGTATTTGTAATAATATATTTGAAAACATTTAAAATTTCTCGAATATTTCATTACGGTACGGGAAGTTCCAGCAATTTGCCTTAAGGGTCGATGCCATACACCACTATTTGTATTTTATTATCTACAATTTTTTCTAATTATCTAAAGCTCTACTGAAACTAGTTTAACCTCAAAATCGCAATGGAAACTAAAAAATTTATTAGGTTTGTGCATCTATATCAACAGTACATCTATTTTAAAATTGAATTATAAAATTTTATATATATATTTGTTATCAATTTATAGAAATAAGATATAAGTCTAATTTATTTAATATTAAATAATGTAAAAAAGATTCCAATGATACAAGTCTCCAGAGTAATTTCTTATACTTCAAAATTTAAAGTTTTTGTACTCAATTTTGCATTTATTTCGTTTGACCTAAGTTGTAATATTAACTTATAATTATTTATAAAAATAAAGCAAAATAAATTTTTAAAATTATTATTACTATTCTTGAATAAAATTGTTATATTATTTTACAGTAAGATAAGAAATCTAAAACAAAAAATATTATTTCAATATGACACATTACGAAATCGTTTATTGTTACTGCTATGCAAGTAGTAAGATAAGAGAGCAGAAAATAGACTTTATTTTGCATTTTATTTCTTTAAATTATAATTAATATATTTATTATAAATAATTTATTATAAATGATTTATTATAAATAATTTATTTATTATAAATAAATTATCATTGTCTTCATATCTTTTGCAATTCCTCAGACAAGAATAAGAGTTGAGGTTAACGAACCAAGTTGAACGGACATCAGGTAACTTTAACTAACTAAACAACATTTCAACGGAAAATTCATTAAATAATAATATTATATATGTATACACATACACTTATGATCAGGAAGTAATTATCGATTCCGATTTTAATTAAAATTAAACGCTTTCAAATTAAACGCGAACATTACCCAACAAACTATCTGAGTCGAATAGAATCTTAAAAAAATAAAAAATAAAAAAAATTGAAAAAAAATATTTGGGTGAAGGAACATGTATATTTTTACTATATAAAAGTTAAAACAAATTTGTAAACATAAACTTCTCCTTCGGGAAGTTAATTTTTCATATACTAGGTGTACCAGAACTCAACGTCAGCAAAAAAAGTGGTGAGATTTAGGTCATTATTATTTAGTCCATTTTTCATTCAAGAATTTTGCCATTGTACAATCATGACTAAAAGTTGGTCATAAAACTTGCCAAAACAAAGTATTTTTTTTTAAAAGTCTAGATTTTAAAAATTTTGAACTCATAGTTTAACAAATAGTCTTCTGGGCAATTGTGTCATTAATTTTAATAATGTAGTGTTATTCGCGGTTACGGTTTCAAATTTTAAATGAACAAAACTCATAAAAAATAACCACAATAACCGAAAATTGGTCATAATTTTACCAAAGCTCTAGTTTGCACTTAAAAGCTCGTAATTTCTAGTTAACTTCATATATTTGTATTCTAATTAATTTTACTCTAAAGTAGATACAATCACCTCGATTAGACTTGACGTTGAGTTCTGGGACATGCTCTATAAGAACCTCGAAAAAAATGAAATAAAATCATGTGTATTCTTTATATATAAAAAATTAAAATAAATAATAATGGAATCTTATTATGACACACGAACACTAGTGATAAGAATCGTCTTAGGTGTGATTTTTGAATGACAGGAAATTCATTGTAAAACGACCGGAAAGAAATAACTGATACCTGTGAATATATACATATATATATATATATATATATATATATACTAGATGACCCGACAGACGTTGTCCTGTACTTTTGTTTACAATTCAAAAGCTCCAATTTTTTTATTAACCTATACTGATATTTACCAATTAGTTATAAATTATTATGTTTTTTTATACTACAGTCCATACCGAAATGTTTATACATCCACCCATATGGATCTTAAATGTGCAACTGCTTTAAATAAAATGATGAGTATTTGCTTTCCCGAAAAACATTATAAAACATTTTTTTCTTAAAATTAGTTCTTTTATCGATATCCGACGTTATTTTTAAAAAAATGAAATTAGACCACTGAGAGGGATGTCATCCCCCTGGGAAATGGCAAAGGAGTCTAAATTATTTTCACTCTTGAACTTGATAGTAAGATAAATCTAATTCCAAAATTTCATGCAAATTGGAGCACAGTAAAAAAATTCAGACCCAAAACGCTCCATTGGCTTGAGTAAATATTCCGTATCCGATGGCAAAAATATGAAAATGTTAACGTTTGTATGTGAAAAAGAAAAGGGCTTTTTTAGGGTTTTCTCGGCAATTATTCGATTTTTTCTTGCCGTAAGAACTATCCTTGAACTTGAACGAACATTCAAAAAAAAATGGCCAAATTGGTCTAG